TGTTTGTTTCCTAAAAAATTAATTTGTTTCTTAAAATGCTATATTGTTTTTTCACCGATTTGGGAATAAGCAGTTCACAAAATGGATGGATGTGTTTCTTTAATTGTGAATGTGTACCTTACAATGTTATTTTGTTTTTTAATTTTTCAACGTCTTCTTTCTTTTATTGTAAATGTGTTTTGCACCTCTCAGCCACCGTACACATGGACAGAGGAATGTGAAAATATCTGTGAAAATATCTGTTCTACAGCTGGGCTTGAACACGGTAATCATATGAGGCCTCCTCCTAACTGTTAGAATTTGGCTAAAATGACTCACTTTAGCTATGCTATAACATGATCTATGCTAATTACTGATTGTCTTATTCTTTTTAGAACTTTACTTTTTGTGTTGAAGTCTCTGGCTGTGTCCACAGACTCTTTATTTTCTCTCTGTAGCATTACATCCATCTTTCTAAGGTTGCCATTGTCAGAATTTGGTTAAAATGACTCATTTTAGCATAGTATGCTATCACATGATCTATGCTAATTATTGATTGTTTTATTTTCTTTTATAACTAACTCTCTCCTCTCTCTTTTCCCTTTCTCTATTTTTCTTTCTCTGTTGCATTAGATCCACCTTTAGGTCAACACACACACACACACACACACCATTTGTTAGCACATTCCTGTCATCTGCATGAATTAGGACCTGGCCTGTTCCTGCCCAGAGGTAACTGGCCAATAGGACTTCATAAAGATGAATCACGACATGATCACAGTCAATTTATCATCAGCTGCTTGTAAAATGTGGCAATTAAATCCAATAAAGTGTTAGCATTTGGCTATAATTACTCACTTTAGCATAGTAGGCTATCACATGATCTATGCTAATTACTGATTGTTTTCTTTTCTTTTAGATGTATATTACGTGTTTCCTTTTCTCTCTTTTTCTCTCTCTGTTGCATTAGATCCACCTTTAGGTTAACACACACGCACACACCATTTGTTAGCACATTCCTGTCATCTGCATGAATTAGGACCTGGCCTGTTCCTGCCCAGAGGTAACTGGCCAATAGGACTTGGTTGTGTCCAGTCCTCCTTTGAGGAGGCGGATGGAGCCCAGGAGATAATGCCCATCACCCAGATCTCAGGGCTCTTTGCCCACTGAGACCCAGAGAGAGGTTTTAGTCTGTTAGAACTTAACTGTGACCCAATAAATGTCATTTTTATACTTTTGATCCACTCTGGTTTATTCTGTTAGTCTGATTCTTTAGTTGGAAACCTGAGAATAAACCAGAGGATATCAAGAGTACAAATATGACATTTATTGTTTTTTGTCTGTTAGAGCCCAGCTGCTACTTAACTCATTGGCTGCCAAAGATGTCTATAGACGTCTTTTATGTTTTTCAATGCGAGTGGCTTTGGGACGATCTGCTAAAGCTTGTCCGTAAATATGGGCTTCTAGACAGATGGGAGATGAGCATAGACTGTAGGCAAATAAGAAAAAGGTAACGGTTCTAAGAGAGAACATGTCGCCGGTGAGACGCAAGTCCAGGAAGAACGGAATAAGGTAGAAACACATTTTTTTTCCTGATGAAAGAAGAGAGTCTACTCTTTCTTTTGGTGTGTTCGGTGTTTACATAGTCATAGCACAAACTATTCTGTGGCTCTGGAAAAATCAGTCAAAATGCTAAAAAAACTAGTATGGGACTCTGTTCTGAAAATGGCTGCCAGTCAATGAGTTAACTGTGACCCAATAAATGTAATTTTTTATACTTTTGATCCACTCTGGTTTATGAGAAACAGCTTTGACGGAGACACTCACCTGCCTGGCTAACACCAGCAGAGTGATGAAGAAGATGAATAAAGAAACTGAGCCCATAGTCTTCAGATCCTTGAGGACCCCTGGTCTGAACACAGAGAGATTTGATAACACCCACAATTCATTCAAAGTAAAAACACAGACATGGGACATTCTCAGCATATTTTACAGACTTAAGATGGATATTTTCTTATCTTTTGAGGTTTGTCGACCACAGAGTCAAAAAGAAAAATAAATCAATTCCAAAGAACATGCATTTCCTCTTTCAAGCTTTTCACATGAAGTCCTTTATATGCTCTTTTCTTAGATATGAAATTTGATATGAATTTGTTTTTCATTTCATTTGACTTCATTTTTCAGAATTATTTTTTTCTGCTACGTAACTTTTCCACCACTTGAATAAACAGAAATAGCTTCATGAAAATGTATAGAGACACAAAAA